TTTGGTCAAATAATATTCTGGGTGTATCTGTGAGGGTGTTTCTCGATGAGGTTAATATTTGAATTGGTAGAATAAGTAAAGCAGATTGTCTTCCCTCTTGTGAATGGGCCGCATTCAATCAGTGAGTGAGGCCCAGTTGAAGGCCCAAATAGAACAAAGAGGTCTGGGAGTAAGAGGACACTCCTCCTACCTGATTGCCTTCAATTTGGGACATCAGTTCTTTCCTGCCTTCAGACTCGAACTGAAATATTAGCTCTTTCTGGGCCATGAGCCTGACAGCATATGGACTGGAACCACACCATTGGCTCTTCTGGCTTTCAGGCCTCTGGACTTAGGCTGGAACTGCACCATCAGCTCTCTTGGGTCATGTGAGAAGACCCTAATGAAGCTAGGAACATTTGTGCCTCTAAATTCTGGTGATTTGCCAGTAGAAGAGGCCTCTCTACCCTCAGGTTAGCTCTGCATTGCCTGAGGAAACTGTAATGGCCTCACCGGAAGCAGTTGCCCTGTAAGACAATGCTGATTTTTCTCAGTACCTACCAGTAGCAGCCTTTGCTTCTAGGCTTGTAACGTGACTCAGGCCCCAACAGGCCCCTAAAAGTGAGTTACAAAGTATGGCCCATGAGGAGGTACACTACATTTCCAAAAATTGACTTGAGTTTTCTAATTTATACAGATAGAAATCTGGGGATCATGTGTGGAATTGGATAATAAGGAAATGGGATAATGATAGGTGGAACATAAAGTTAGATCAGACCAAATTTATTGATATGGACTTGCTAAGCAGAGAGTTTGCATTTAATGTTGCAGCTTGGGATGATGTTTGGTTGGCTGGCTAAAATGTGAACTAAAAAGTAGGCCACGGTGAATGAGTTGGAAGTATTGGACCTGTGTTGGTTTAATGTAGAGGAAAGGATTCAAAGGCTTAAAGACATTGAATGTTATTGTAGATTTGTCATTTAAGACCCACTCACACACTCTGGATTGGTCCAAAAGATGTACCTTTCACTATGACTGTGAGAAATAAATTTATGAGGAGAACCCCACCATCCTTAAAGAGATATGTGATTGCCGTTCTCTATAGGCCAGACCTTACAGTGGAAACTGCAGTCACTGAATTGGGAAACCTAAATACAATGGGAGTAATTGGATCTTGGGTGGCAGGAGCCAGTTGGTGGCAGTCAACTACCAAAACCAAGGTGGTCGTGGTTACCAAAACAGACAGCAATCAGAACTGCAATCAGAATAATCTTAACTAGGGCAGACCTGTGGCTTTAGCTAGTTGATCATGGTGTCTCTAGAGAAGAAATAGACAGGAAGCTTATTGAATTTTTACTTGCTCTGTATAAGTACAAAAGTTTTAAGTCAAGTGAATAAAATTTAGCCCGAATCATAAAAACAGAGGCACAGCCCCTCAACCAATTTGTTTCTATAGCCTTGAGTTTACAGCTACAGACTTATAACTTATTTATTTGTTTGTTTATTTATTTTCTTAGTTTCAGAGGTACAAAGCAATGTAATAGACATTAAAACTCTTCATAAAGTGACAATCTACTACCCCTTTGACATCTTATATAGCTGTTACAGTACCATTGACTATCTTCCCTATGTTGTATTCCACATCCCATGACTCTTTATACCTATATATTTAGTTATAGTTGACATTCAATATTATTCTACTTCAGTTTCAGGTGCATTGGTCAGACATCTACACAGCCTGTGAAGTGATCCCCCTGATAAGTCCAGTGCCCATCTGGCACCTTACATGATCTTTACAACATTGTTGATTATATTCCCCATACTGTATTAACTACCAATTCATATTTCTTTTTATTATTATTATTATTATTATTTTCAGATGTACAAAACACTGTAATAGTTATACATTTCACTACTCACAAAATAATAACCTCCCTCACCCAATCTGTTGCCACTCTAACATTGTGTATTATCTATTACAATTCCATTTACTCTATTTCCTATACTATATAATTTGTATTTCTTAATGCCTTCACCTTTTTCACTCTGCCCCCAACCCATTCCCATCTATCACCTTGATAGATGTAGTACCTATCTGGCACCATACCTAGTTATTACATTATTGACTATATTCCTTGTGCTGTACCCTACATCTCCACGACTCCTATATAACAACCAATTTGTACTTTTTAATCCTTCTTCTTTCACTCATCCTTAACCCCCCTCCCATCTTAAAGAAATCCCTCTAAGAGTCCTTGTAATACTGGTTTGGTGGTGATGAACTCCTTCAGCTTTTTCTTGTCTAGGAAACTTTGTATCTGTCCTTCAATTCTAAATGACAGCCTTGCTGGGTAGAGCAATCTTGGTTGTATGTTGTTGCTTTTCATCACTTGGAATATTTCATGCCACTGCCTTCTGGCCTGCCAAGTTTCTGTTGAGAAATCAGCTGACAGTCTTATGGGAGCTCCCTTGTAGGTGACTAACTGTTTTTCTCTTGCTGCTTTTAAGATTCTCTCTTTTTCTTTAAACTTTGGCATTTTAATTATGATGTGTCTTGGTTTTGGACTCTTTGGATTTATCTTGTTTGGGACTCTCTGTGCTGGAAAGCTGCTTTTAAAGTAGTTTTTTAAAAGTTGAGGGATATGTTATAATTTTGTGGATTATTTTTCTAATTATTACCTCAGTTAATAGCTTTATATCTAATAAGCTTTATCTTTTCAATATCTTCAGACTTTTTTTTTAGGAGTTCATTTTTGTATATGTTCTTTTCCCATAATGTAACATAAATGTGTAGGTATAAACATAATAAACATGTCCTTCATTGAATATAAAATTTCAAAACCTTTTAAAATGAATCAACCTCGTTAGCCTCAAGTTACCAGTTTTATTCCTACATTTCTGACAAGCTACTTGGAAAACTAAACTTTATGTTTAAAGAGTTAAAATAGAATTTTCTAGTTCATTTAAAAAGTATTGATATTCATTTTTATATATTCCAGGCATTTACGTTGTTTGCCACACATTTTTTGGAGCTATGCCATATAGATGTCTTGTACCCTAATGTAGAAAACATGCATTTTGAAGTTCAACATGTAAAGAACAACTCAAGAAATAAAGAAGCAATCTTGTATACCTACAAACTTTCTAAGGGACTCACAGAAGAAAAAAATTATGGTATTACATAGAGAAATGATATCTTACACTGAAATACTCTATATTCTCATAAAAACAAACTTTCTTTCCCCCTTTTTTTGGCTGTTAACCTAAGCAACTTTTCCTTTCATTCTTTTGAGTGCTTATATGCTGTTAGACTATATTTTCTATGTCAAATTCATATTTTATATATATAAAGCTTATTTTTAAACTTATAGTAACCAGTAATTATGTAGAATTACAACACATAAAGGCCCCAGAATTATTAGTCTGTATCCTTAAAAAAATATAATTTAGTTTATATTTGTAAGTTATATAATGAATTGAAAATGATGTATTTCTAATACATTCTTTCAGTAACAGTGTTCTTTCTCTGTGTTCTCCAGAGTCTGGGAACTCAGTAATTAAATCTAAAGACTTAAAATGGGATATATTGCCAAACCATATGATATTCATAAACCTGATTATTATTTTCTATCTATTATATGATGTTTGAAATTTCACAGTTTCAATTGATCTATACATATAAAGTTTCAAAAAATATTTTAGCTATACATGTGACGCTTGTGAAAGGGGGAAAAAAGCTTTCTTTTTTGCTATATGAAATTGGAAATCAAATGGATAGCTTAATTTATATCAGATGTTTAATCTTTATAAGCCTCAATTTCATCTATTAAATGGGAATAATTTTCCATATATGTGCATTTGGGAAGATTAAATGAATTATCAAATACAAACTGCCTAGTATAGTGCCTAGCAATTACTAACTTCTAAGTAAATATTAGTGAACTTCTATTGCCTCTAAAGCAATAAATATTGGGTTGTCAGAAAAGTCATGATGCATGTTTGCAACAGATGGCACTAGTTCATTTTTGGAAGTACTAGAGTCATTCGCATCTATGTCATTGCTATGTCATTTGACAGCTGACAGTTCTAGCTTCATTCTAAAAAAATATTGAGCAATTTGGTTGAGTTTTGGAGATTTTACAAGTTGAAGATGGAACACCAACTGTACATTTTTGCCATATTTTACTGTTTTACTTCCATAAAGGGAAGAATGCACCTCAAGCTTGTGAAAAGTTGCATAAAGTTTACCGTGACAATGCTCTACAAGAATATCAGTTCCAATGATGGTTCACGAAATTCCGTGCTGGTGATTTTTACCTCAATGATGCTCCTCGGTCAGGGAGGCCCACTGAGATTGATGATAGCAAAATAAATGCATTGATCAAGTCAAACCCACATTACACAACATGAGAGATTGCAGAAACATTGAACATCCATCATTCAAGCGTTCACGACTACCTGAAGAAGCTGGCATACGTAAGCAAACTCGATATTTGGGTTCCGCATGAGCTCAAAGAAGTTCATTTGACGGTGCATATAAACATCTGCAATATGCTCATTAAACGTGAGGAAAATGATCCTTTCTTGAAGTGACTGAAAACTAGTGATGAGAAGTGGATTGTTTACAATAATGTGGTGCGCAAATGGTCTTGGCCCGATGTGATGATTCGCCTCAAATGACGTTGAAAGCAGACTTCATCAGAAGAAGGTTATGCTCTCAGTGTGGTGGGATTTTAAAGGTTTCGTGTTTTTTGAGCTCCTACCAAGGAACCAAACATTCAATTTGAATGTGTACTGTCAGCAATTGGACAGTGAATGAATCCATCATCCAGAAACGTCCAGAGCTTGTTAATTGTAAAGGAGTTGTGTTTCACGGCGACAACACAAGACCACACACAAGTTTGATCACCTGTCAAAAATTATTGGAGCTTGGATAGGATGTGTTGCCACACCCACCATACTCGCCTGACCTTGCACCATCAGACTTCCACTTGTTTCGCTCTCTTCAAAACTCTTCGTGTGGTATAACGTTCAATTCAGATGAGGCTGTAAATCAGCACCTTGTTCAGTTTTTTTGCAAATAAAGACAGGTCCTTCTGTGAACAAGGAATTATGAAGCTCACTGAAAAGATGGCAAAAGGTTATCAAACAAACTGGGCAATATATTATTGATTGATCTTTGTTCTTTATATAAATAAATGACCTTTGAAAAACATAGACAAAATACATCATGACTTTTCGGACAACCCAAAATAATAAACTATTAGCACACAGTGGAAAGCCTAAATGCATTTATACAATAAAATTAAGCTCTGAGAACATGAGCATACTGGTTGGTACTTGGAATTCTCTTCCAAGAAATTCCTCTCTCATTGATCTGCTGGACAGAGGAATGTTCAGCTGTAGGTTTATTTCTGTGACTAAACGTTTTCCTCCCCTGCAAAACCCATTTATGCTTTGACCTTCTATTAACCAACGGTAGTTGGAATTTTCAATGTTATTACTATTATTCACTTTTCTAGTTACCTCTTTTCCTTTCCCTAACATGCTGTCTTGCTATCTCAGAGGTTTCTTGAGAGGTGATTGATCTAATTTGTCTAATATAACTTGGACAAGTAATTAAATATAATAATTGGTGAGTTGAACTTTGGAAAATTTAATTTGGGGAATTATTAAGTATTTCAGAAATACCTGAGAAGGGTACTTTAAATCTGTGAAGAAAAGATTAATACTGGTTAAAAGAAACATAGCAATACCAGTAATAACAATATTGAAGCCCTGTTGTTGATAATTTTAGGATTAAAAGCTGCAGAGGCATCATCACTCCCACCATCAATTGTCTTGGAAGCCAAGGAAATCACAACTCAAATTACTGGACAAATTTTGGTGAGAAACGTTTTAGCAATAAGAATTAATTTGCAAATTCAAGAAAATACTTTTAGTGTACATGTTTATTATGGCTTTGCATATAAACCTTACACATTACCCAATTTAGCTATATAACCTACATTTCTGCCACATTGAGTTACTTGTCATTTCCTCATTTTGACCTGATTATATACCATGCTTTTTAATGTGTCTGCTCTAGCCTTTTCCTTCATCTATTGTAGAATGCCCTCCCTTCTTGGTTCTTCTGTCTATTAAGATTCATTCTAAATACTCCATCCTATTTAAGCTTTTCTTGACCTGAGCTGGAAGTGAGCCCTTCTACCTTTGAGATTTTTTATCTCTTTTATGGGACTTATCATAATTACCTTAATCAGTTGCTTATACACATGTCTTTTTCACTGTAAGACTTTTTCATTGTAATGAGTTCCATTATCATGTCAGGTAGACATTTTTGTATCACCCATAGATTTAAACACAAGGCATGGGCCCTGGAATATAGACGATAATAGACATTTAATAACTTATTTAAATAATAATCTGATAGTAGATCAATGTATTAAATAGATAAATGAGTGAATATATAATAATCTTATTCTACCTCATAGAATCATATTTGATTTTCCTTTAGTGAAAGTTAGAAAAAATATCTGGAATTGTTTGCTATTGAGTTGAAGAGATTGTATTTCCCTTGGTGAAGGGAAACTCACTAATACAGTCCATAAACAGTTAACATTGAAAATGCTGATTCCCCTATCTAGCTCAGGCAAAGAAGTGAATGAAGAATTTTCCAGCTGTACCCCAACCCTGACGTACTATTCAAGAACTAAATATCTAAAGGCCTTCCAAAGTATTAGAAGATGCCCATTTTACACATTATTTTTTGGGTATTCTTAACTATAGTTTGCTGTGAATCGAGGTAGCTATTTATGTTTCTTATTTTTCAATTGTAATTTACCCTTCAGGCAATATTTCCTCTCTTAGGCTCTAGCAGTTTCTGTGTATGAACTCTCTTGAGGGACAAGCAGTTTATTGATGTCCCATTCTTTCCACCAGTTTATATGCTGGGGAATTAAAATAGGAGTTAGCAGAGTGGTACTCTTGGGTGACATTTAAAATTATGAATATTGCATAGCAATGAGCAGTGCTGTTTTCTTATACCTTTTTAATGAAAAAGTGAACATAAGTAGAACATAACTCTGGTGGATTTTCTATTACTTTTTGGTATTGTGTTGAGACATTTGACCTATTTAGTAGAATTCTTTTTTCACTGAAAGGTGATTCTCAAGGACATAAAGATCTGTCATAAAGTCTGAAATACTCATGAGAACTTTTCTCCAGAATAATATTTCTTTATTTCTTCTGGCATATTATTTGCTGGTTGTATGGAACTGACTTATCTGAAGGGATTAGTTAACCCTTGAGTTCTATATTTCTATTAAAAGAGAAAACTACCAAAATTTTAATAGAAAAATCGTAGTCATATAGTAATTTTTATCTATATTTTTTTTCAATAACAGCAAAACCAAAGGCGTATCCCTGAGATGGAAAGACAGAGAGCTGTGTACCATCTAGCTACTAGGCTTGTTCAAACTGCTCGAAACTCTCGGTTGGATCCAGATAGTTTACGAACATATTTAAGTAATCTGAAAAAGAAGTATGAAGCAGATCTTTCCAGGGCCGAACAAGTTTCAGAAAGGACTGAAGAATAATAACAAGTCATATCTTATACTAATGAAATAATATATCTTAATATGAGGAACCTAGAATTCATTTTTCTAAAGAGCAAAAGAAAATAATATTTGATAAATTTTATTTTTAGTTGACAGTTGCATTATATTAACCTCAGAATTATCATCTATATAGGTTATAGAAGAAAATATTTGTTATTATAATTTAATGAGAACTATTTAGAGGACTGATTTTTAAAAATAAGTTGGTATAATGTGACACTTTTTCATTTATGAAAATTTATGTTATTAAGTCTTAAATTTATTTATATTTACAAGTTATGGTTTAAAATGTTATTGTCAATACCTTAGTTAAGAAATAAACAACTTTCTTTTTAGGTCTGGAAACTTATGTGAGTTTTTTACACTATTCTGAAGCAATATTACCCTATGACTCAATAAACTTTTTTTTTTTTTTTAACTGAACCATCCTGCCACCTGTTGGCAGCTCAGTGGCAGCTCAGCTAGGGCTGGGAATCTGGACTGCTGTTGCTCAGAGCTCAAACTCTTGAGCGAGCTCTTAACCAACTGAGCCACTCGGCCAGCCCCTCAATAAATTTTTATATAATACCTTATAACTCCCAAATTCTAATACTGGATACTTCTGAAGTTAGTTAGAATGATATTGGGAATTTTAAAGTATTCTTTTTGACATTCAGTGTAGTTCTAAAGGGTGAAAGGAAACAAATAGATATTTTGTAATGCAGGGAACATTTCTGGAAGGGGAAGTCCACCATTATGGACTCTTTCAGTTTCTCAATAGCCAGATGTTCCATTTTCTACTCTCCAACCTCTTTTCTCTTCCAACTTTTCATTTTTGGTCATCTTTTTTAGGTGTGTAACTAATGCAACAGCAAGGTAATACTGATTTGTTTACTTCAGTTCTTGGTTCACAGGGAACATTTTATAGAGCTGTTTTTCCAAAGGCTTGTGGCTTACACAACCATTTAAGATTTTACCCAAAGGTCATTCTTGTTTCATAAATGGACAAAAGAAAATGGAAGACCATCAGTTGTTCAGTAACTGTAAAGAGCTGTTGTCTTCTCAAACACAGTAGATGACTCATTCACATAATCACAGCCCAAAGGTCTAAGATAATAGAAGTTATTCTTTTCTTAGACAACTGAGTATCTGGAACTCAGGGCACACATTCAGTAAGCTTCAGAATTCATAGTAAATTTGCCCCCTAAAATTATTCACATACTGGTTAGGGCCCTATTTTTGTTAATATATGCATATTTTCTCTTACAAATTTATTACTGATATTTTTTACTTTATTAAACTTTCTCAATATTCTAAGTACACATTAGTAGCTAGATATATCATATTGAAAAAGTTATAATTTGAATGACATATATACACTTTGGGAAAAGTAACTGTAAATTAGTGTTAGTATTTACATTTGATATATATTAAATGTGCTATTAGACTATTTATATTCTTCATTGTCCTGTTTTGGGAAGAGAGTACTACAGTATTTGAATTTGACCATTAGCCATTTTTTAATTCACAGCATTTGAAATGAATTATTTTAATGTGATCATTCCTAAAAGCAGCTACATAATTTAAGCTTGCGACAAATTTCTAGAAGGCACTTGGGAGGAAGAGGGCATGACAGCTTGTTTGGAAGGAAAGGGAAGAAAAGGGAGGAAGCAATAAAAGGCAGAAGGGAGAAGGCAATGGAAGAAAAACAGGCAAGCAGAGATGGATACACAGTATTAAATATGGTGAATATCATTTCCTCAAATATTGGGTTGTCGGAAAAGCCATGATGTATTTTTTCTGTTTTTCGTTGCAAAAATGCATCATGACTTCTGACAATCCAATATGTTAACTTTCCTTTAGATTTTACCCCAATATTAGATTCCACCAGACTTTTAAGAAATTTTTCAGCATTTAGAGCTTTTGATGCAAAAACTGCATCCAACTGATTAATTTATTTTAGATTTGGAATGATGAAATAAAAATAGTTTTATCTTCTTAAAATTATACTTTTTCTTCAGTCATTATATGTGTGTGTGTGTGTGTGTGTGTGTGTGTGTGTGTGTGTGTAGCAGAAACATGAAAACACAATGAATGAAAATATAATTATTATGTCATGGTGCTAAATATAAAAAAAAGGTGTCTACTAGGAAGACAACCCATTTTTAAATTTTAAGTCTATTTGCTCTACTCTTCAATACCTTGTCGCCTTTGCCTGCGTTTCTCTAAAATTGAACATCATTATCTCGTAATCCAGGCCTTTAACATAAATGTCCATGGTATTGTAGCAAACTCTTAATTTCCATCTTAAAAGCTATTCTTTTAGTCTGTTCCACCTTTCTCCTCGCATGAGGTTGTCCTTTTTCAAGTCTAAGGGTAAGGTATGTGGGAGTAGAGGAAAAGGGCAATTTATCCTCATGTCTAGGAAGCAATGCATTTGTTTATTTTAGAATTTTACATACAGTAAAATAAATTTTTTGGTGTACAGTTCCGGTTACATGGTGCACATTTATGGATTCATGGAACCAGTACCATAATCAGGACATAGAACAGTTCTATCAACCCCAAATTAATTTCCTTACTGTCCCTTTATAATCAAATCCTTCTCTGATCCCTAACTTTAACCCAGCAATTACCAGAATGATTAATCATTTCTTCTGTATAGTATTTTTTCCAGAATATCCAAAAATGGAATCATATAGCATTTACCCTTTTGAGACTGGCTTCTTTTACTCAGCATAATGCATTTGAGAGTTTATCCATGTTGTCGTGCCTTTCATTGCTGATTGACTGGTATGCCATTGTTTGTATGGACCACAGTTTATCCATTCATTCATTGATGGACATTTGGGTTTCCAGTTTTTGGTAATTATGAATGAACCTGTAATAAATATTCATGTACAGATTTTTGTGTGTTAAGTTTTAATTTATCTAGGTTACATAGGAGTGGAATGACTCTGTCATATTGTAAGTGTATGTTTAACTTCATAAGAAGCTGCCACACTCTTTTCCAGATTAGCTTTACCATTTTGTATTATCATCAGTCGTGTACGAGAGTTCCAGTTGTCCTGCATATTCTGCAGTACTTGGTATTGTGTTTTTTTTTTCTTCTAGTTTTAACCATTCTAATGGGTATGTAGTGAGTCATGCATTTTTAAAATTGTAAAGCTAGTCTGATCATTCTTTAGTAAGTAGTGATTTTTTTTCTCTTGTTCTAAATTATTTTTTAGTTAGTTTTCAGCTTAACTCCTCTGGTAACACATTTTTAAATCTTTCCCTAAAAGCAAATTTTTAGAATAGGCCTTACTCTTAAAAACTTCCAAAAAAAAATTCAGTAATATTTACTATGGAACAGGCAACATACTAAGTGCTAGGTGTACAAAAGATGCCCTTGAAATAGACTTTTCAGGTGGAGTAAAGAGAAAAAAGCCACATATATTAATTAAGTTTATAAATTCAATCCTGTATTGCATTCTTACCACCCAGGAATGAAACTGGAAGGAAAAGAAACACAAGTAATACAGTTATATTGCCACTTGGCCATTTCCATTCTCATTTAGAAACTTAAATCACACAGTTGTTTATCTTACTGTAAGACCAGAATGAATACTCCTTTCCTTATTGAGTTGTTCAAAATTTTGATAGTTCTCAGATTGCAAGTAGATGATGAAAATAGCTATTGTCTGATATAATATACTAAAATGGATCCTAAAATACACAGCAATGAGGTAGGGAACAGATTCTCAGTGTCAAGAGCTGTGAAGGCGTAACTGTATATAGTGACAGATGTTAACTAGACGTATTGTGATCATTTTGCAATATATGCAAATATCCATAGTAGTCCCCCTTATCTGCAGGGGTTAAGTTCCAAGACCCCCAGTGGATGCCTAAAACTGTGGATAGTAACTGAATCCTATATACTGTGCTTTTCCTGAACGTACATACATATATTTTCACATAAAGGAAGCACTTTATGGCTTCTCTTTGGCATATCCAGATTGCCAGCGTCACTACTCTTGCACTTTGGGTTCATTATTAAGTAAAATAAGTGTTACTGGAACACAAGCACTGTGATACAATAACAGTCGATCTGATAACCAAGATGACTACCAAGCGACTAACAGGCAGGTAGCACGTACAGTATGGATACGCTGGACAAAGGGATGATTCACGTCCCAGGAGGGATGGAGCAGATAGCACAAGATTTCATCATGGTACTCAGAGTGGCGTGTAATCTTCAAACTTATGAATTGTTTATTCTGGAATTTTCCCATTTAATATTTTTGGTCCTCAGAGACTGTGGGTAACTGAAACCATGGAAAATGAAACTGCGGATAAGGGGGGACTGCTGTAATGTTCTATGTCAATTATACCTCAATTAAAAAAAAAACTGTGAAGGGTCTGAGATTTTTACCTTAAAGCGAACTAGCAGTTTAGCTTACTACAGTTTGATGTTTGCTGTCAGAAGACAAATGACTTCTTGGTCAGAAACAAAAGACTTGATTACAAATGGCATAACATGCACCATGAGCGTCATGTTTGTGTTGGTTTCATATGCCCCTGTTCTCTAAGACATGGAGTGGTCCATGTATACATATGCACAGTGGATTTGTGCTACAGCTGAGGAAACCCAAGCTTGAGAAACTCCAGTCTTTTATAATGAGCTTCAAGCAAACATGCTCAGCCTTTCCCCTAGAAGAAGACATTACCTTTATTATACTAGACATTGAGCAAACCTGCCCTCTACTCAGAGGAAGACACTCTATCTTTCATCACTGTTTCACTAGACAAACATCCTTAAAAAGGTAGTCATGAATAAGGCAGGCAGTGCCTCTGCTTGTAGGACAGGCAGAAATATGAGCGACCCATGGAAAAGTGTCTCCCAATTCTCATATTTGTGTTGCAACAGTTTGTCTATGTAATTATATAGAGAAAAGTAGTATCCTACATGTTCAAAAACAAAAGAGCTAAAAACTTGTAGTATAATAAATTTTAATTTTTTAAAAGATAAGTTTCTTTGTAACCAAAGAACATATAGATTAGATTTAACTAATGATATTTTCATTTTGATGTCATGTTGGATCAAAATTATTCTTTCTTTGCATCAAAATGCATATAATTTGGGGATGGATTAAATGGGTGAAAGTGGTCAAAAGGTACAAACTTCCAGTTGTAAAATAAGTCCTGGGGATGTAATGTGCAGCATGGTGACTACAGTTAATACTGTGTTGTAGACTTGAAAGTTGTTAGAGAGTAGATCTTAAAACTCATTTTGCATTATGTACACCTTTCATTTTGTGTGATCATTTTGTAATACATACGAATCTTTTGAATCATTATGCTATACACCAGAAACTAATAT